TTTGGGGTATCTTTTTTGACTACCGCTTGTATAGATTACAGATTACAAATCCGCTCATGTCATTTAACTAGGATTTCACACAAAGTGATGGTCTACTTTAATAATATGCATCACTCAGTGTTGGTGCTTAAATTTTGATGCACGAGCTTTTCTTGATACATTAGTCTTTCTTTTACCATATATTATCATAGCTAGTGTTGAAGAAAATCTATTGCTGATAGCTGACATTTTTGGATACATTGAAGCCTGCCCCATTTTTCTCATCCTTCTTTGCCTCATAAACATAGAAATACTTAGGGCTGTTTGGAATACTTGGAAAAAGTAACTTGTGAGCATTAGGTCAAAAGAAGGAATAGAAAAGGCAGGTTTTTTAACGGTCTCGAATACCAGCTTCTACTTCCAAATCAAATTTATTTTAGTCGAAAAGCAGGGTAAGGATTATTTTGAATTTATCTTATTCTATTTCTGGATGTTTGTAAAGTTAAATCACTAATCACTTTCTTTTAAATCAATCTACCGTTTTTAATACCTTTTCGCTCCGATTACGATAACCCCTCATTAACTAAAAGCATAGGTTTTTTGCACACTGATATTTTTTTTTTGTGTGTGTTTTTTTCTTACGTTTTTCACAGGTCTACCCTGATGATTCATTGGATAAGCTTCCCGAATCTTTGGACATTGGTGACGTGTCGGAACCTGTGACTGTTAGCATGACATCATCATCATCACAAAAAGCTAAGATTCAGACAGTTGGCGATGCTCGGGCTTCATCTTCTGCTCCATTCAACCCCTCACCTGCAAGCTAATCTGCTCAATTTTTCGGGATTAGCAGTTTTTCCTTAGAGTGCTTTTATTTTCTTTTCTTTTTTTTTTTTCTGAGAATGTGGATATATAACAACCTGCTGTGAACTGGGGAGTTTTCTTATTTTGTGCTTCTTGTTTTAAGATGAGATTTGTGTCTATACATTTGTTATACCTTTGCTTCTTTTTGTACAGAATGAATCTGCTTTGTACTTTCTCTTTTGTTCTTGGGTTTCTTTTGGTTTGGAAGGTGCTACCAAATTATCTGAGCTGTCAACAGTTTTTTATTTGATCTTAATGGACAATTTTCTGGTGTTGTGATGATCACAGATTGTGTGAATTGTTGATCTTTTTACTGTTAGCATAGCTTTGTGTTTGGGTTAATTAAGCTGTACATGTACATGCTTCAAATCATATATATTTTTATAAAAAGAAAAGAAAAAAATAAAAATAAAAAAGAAACAACAACCATATTTTTGTCCTAAAAGAATTTTTATTTATTGGTTTTTATTTTAAAAGTTCGTTTATTTTGATTTGATTCGACTCGCTATTATTTTTAAAAACACAACTAAAATACTAACTGACCAATTATATAGAAACTATTATTTTTCACATATTTGTATATATTTTTTTGTAGTTAGCAAAAATAATATAGAAGATTAAATAACAGATATAAACTAATTTATCAGCTAGTTTTACTGACAATTAAGCTAACTTATCAGCTATCAGTTAGTTTTACCAACCATAGCCTACATGCAATCACGTTAGTTCAACTGTGATGGCCTCTAATAAATATTTATTATTTTGCTTGTTGATATTTTTATTCATTTTTAGTTTATGTTTTTCTTTCTCTTCATTTTCCTTGGACCCTTCTCCAAAAACATAACCATAATAACTAACACACATCTCTCCTGGAAAAAAGATCACATTTTTCTGCAATTATTCTCATAAAAATTCAATCTTTTCCCAAGATTCATAATTTGTAGCAAAAATCTTGGTTTTTCTTATAATATATTTTTTTTTTTTCACAAATGGGGTTTCAGAACAAACAATATTTTTTGTCAAATTCATTGGTGAATAAATTCAAGAATTTCTACATTTGATTATCTGAAAATAAATTTAAAAAAAATAAAAAAAAAAATAGAGAAATTAAATGACAATGGGGTTGGATTACTACAACATATTGAAGGTGGGCAAAAGTGCAACAGAGGATGATCTGAAAAAATCTTACAGAAGGTTGGCCATGAAATGGCATCCAGACAAGAACCCCAACAACAAGATTGAAGCTGAGGCCAAATTTAAGCAAATCTCAGAAGCATATGATGTATGAATGTGTGTGTGTGTGTGTATGTGTGTGTGTGTGTTTATTTGTGGCCCTTTTGATACAAAGTGTTAATTATGCTATGTTTTTTCTTTTCTTCTTTGTTTCATTAAAGTTGGTTCTGGTGATGTTAAGTGTTTGAGGAAATGCCTCAATTGGATTGTTTATCTTTTCCCCAGATCTTTTCATATATAGAATAGATGAAGATTGCCATTCTGTATTTCTATTGGGCCTCCTGCAAATATATGTGTAATATTGGTCCAAACCAAATCGAAAACTGAAATTCTACGTCGGAAATCGAACAAAAATATTCAGTTGCGGTTTCAGTTTGGACCGAAATTTCAGTTTTTTTGGTTCGGTATATCCTGTGCACCTAAAAGGATGCTTGTTTTGATTGTTTCTGAAAAAACCCAGAAAAAAAAAAAAAGATATCATATTTTTATATTTCCCTTTATATTAATGTTTCCTTCTGGGTTTACTTTACTCAATGTTGGTCTCTGTGTTTATTTTTTCCATTTCTTGTGCAAGATTTCCCCTTTCTAACATCACATAATGTTCTCACTTTCAACATTTGTCCTTTAGTTTTTACTTCATTTTCTTGTCCAATTGTTTGTCAGGTGTTGAGTGATCCTGACAAAAGGCAGATATACGATCAATACGGCGAAGAGGGTCTCAAGGACATGCCTCCACCCGAGTCGACTCAAAACGGTTTCAACTCACGAAATGCAGAAGATATTTTCGCCGAGTTTTTTGGGAGCAGCCCTTTCGGGTTCGGTTCGTCTGGGGCCGGCCGGTCCACAAGATTCTCCTCCGATGGAGGAGGAGGAATCTTCGGTGGACCCGATAACGTGTTTCGAAACCCGAGCGATGGGAATGGAGCTAACATGCCGAAAAAACCGGCACCTGTCGAGAGCAAATTGCCGTGCAGCCTAGAGGAGCTCTACACCGGGTCTACCCGGAAGATGAAGATCTCGAGACAAGTGGTCGATGCAAACGGGTAGGTTTTTAAGTTAATCAATAAGCAAGTATATTTTGTGTTTTCATTTTGGTTGTTTTGCATTGGTTCTGTATGTTTTATCTTGTGGGGCGGCAAACGAACCGAGCTGAGTCGAGTCGAGCATTGGCCTTATCGAGCAAGATTGACTTTTTTTTTTACCTGCTCGAGATCGACTCGACAGAAGAAGACAATCGCTCGAACTCGTATGATCATTAAGTACATATATAAAATAATTGTAATATAAATATATAAGGTTTCAATAATTCACTATATATCTCGAGCGGCTCGCGCCAAAACATATGCTTGAGATCAACTCTTGGGTCGAGTTTGGTCAAACTCGAACCGAGCTTTGACTCGAGCGCTCGGTTCTTTTGCACCCCTACTTGTGAGGCTGTAATAAAAAACATCTTATAACAAAAAGAGTGAAAATGGCTTACTCTTTATTACAAAGAAAAAAAACCAAAAAAAAAAACAAAACAATGTTTCAAACAACTTACAAGAATCGGCATTTTTTTCGTTCAGGCGATTATCATCCGAATCCGAGATCCTAACGATCGACGTGAAGCCCGGCTGGAAAAAGGGCACGAAAATAACCTTCCAAGACAAAGGCAACGAGCAGCCGAATCAGCTCCCGGCAGACTTGGTTTTCGTGATCGACGAGAAGCCACACAAAGTGTTCAAAAGGGACGGCAATGACCTCATCATGACCTACACGGTGACTCTAGCAGAAGCTATCGGGGGCACAACCATAAATTTCGCAACGCTCGACGGGCGTAGCCTATCTATCCCGGTCACTGACATAATCAGCCCGGGATATGAGGTCGTAGTTTCGACAGAGGGAATGCCGATTGCTAAAGAGCCCGGAAATAGAGGCGAACTAAAGATCGTGTTCGAGGTTAAGTTCCCCACCAAAATAACGGCCGAGCAACGTGCCGGGCTTAAACGGGCTTTGGGAGGTTCATGAGTGTTGTTTTTTTCAATGAATGTGTGTTGTGTGTACTGCCAACTGTGTACTCTTTGCTGTGTTAGCTTTCTTTCTGGTTTTTTGTTGTTAGGGGTAATTCAAATGCTACCTTTGAAAACTAACTAAATAAGAAGAAATGTGTTGATTTTTAAGACAAAATATTCTCTCGAGGGTTGTAAAAGTTCTGCTGCAAACAGCCCTCTTGAGGAACACTTTCTTTTTAGATACACATTAAATTTTGGGGTATTTTGTGAAATTAGGCTAAATTTCAGGGGATGCTTTTGTAGTTAACATTTTGATTACAACCAGTTAGTAGTAATTAAATTATCCTTCATATTTGGTCTAAATTATTCTACAATTAAATGGGCAACTTTTTCATTAGTCCCTATTACTCATAAAATATATCTGTAATTGAATAATGGAACTTGCAAAATTATTCACTTGTGTATATCCACAAAAAACAGACTAAAATATTAAAAAAAAAAAAAAAAAAAAATTACATACAGATGAAACTAATTATCAGGTGAAGATACAGAAACAAGTCACATTCCATATATTATGACACTGTCATTCATTTTAATTAACAATTGCATAACCCATCTTTTTTATACATATGAATCCTTCCTCTCATACACTACATCATTTTCACATCTTGAAATTCAAAACAAACACATATACACAAAGCTATGGCCCTAGGAAAACCCATACTGATCAAAACCCATCATGATTCTTCCCAAATTTTCGATCACAACAATAATCGAGCCGCCTAAATAAAAACGAGTTGTGCAAAGATACTTTGAGCAAACCTCAATGGATTTATATAGTGTTGTTCCGCAAGTTTGCAGTTGCTTCGGTTAAAGAACTCAGAATAGTCTCGCCAACTTCAGATTTGCAGAGAGGACAATTTGCGTTGATTTTCAGCCACTTATCGACACATTCTTTATGAAAGAAATGGGAGCAAGGTAGCTCGCGTAGTTCATCATTGTTTGCGTACTTTGTCAAGCAAATACAGCAAACCTGAAGAAAAATTTCAAAAAAAAAAAGAAAAACCACAGATAGTAATGAGTACCCGAAAAGAGTAAATTACAGAAACTACCTCGAAGGCGATTTTTTTTTTTTTCTTTTTGTCCTTTTTTTGAAATTATAAATCACAAATTGCACATTGGATAAACTTAAGGAGATGTTTTATTTGTGATTTATAAATAGGGTTTAATATAAATACAAATACCACCCCTGAAAATTTGTTTGATCTTGCGCAAGTGCATCGTCAGGGTCTTTGTAACGTAATTACAAAAACTTAACTGGGTTTTTTGCAATTTGGAGAATAAGTAGGCCTCTCTGTAATCAGACAAAATTTCAAGGGCGTTTTTTATAATTCATCAATTTAAGCTACTAATGGTTTTCAGAAATAGCTAAGAAATAAGGAGACTCACACATTGAGTACTCGAACAATCAAAAAGAGAGAGAGAGAGAGAGAGAGAGAGAGAGAGAGAGAGAGAGAGAGAGAGAGAGAGAGAGAGAAGCTTACAGCATCTTCTCCTGATATCACACGCTCTTTCTCTGTCCCGGCAGCTACTATCCCACCCTCGACTCCTCCACCAGTCTCCTTATCATTGGAGTTTCGACTTTTCTTTATTTTAAATTTATAAGTTGGCAGGGAATTAATCGACTCCTGAGTTGCTCCTCTGTTATGCGCGAAATCTTCTCTGAAGCCAAGGACAGATATTATACACGGCAGGCAACAGCAGATTGTCGTGCACAGAATAAACGGCATTGCATAACCGATACAACTGATGGCTAAAAATACTATGCACAACCTGCACTTGAAACAATAAGGCAATACAAATTGAGCAAAAAGATATAAATAAAGATTTGGCACGTCATGTGTGCGCCAAGTTAGTACATATTAATATATAATTAAACACCAGTGTTGCCATTAATAATCTGAACATAAAATATAAAAATTACTTTAATAACAAAATAACGAGAAAAAAAAAGGTACTTTACGAGTAATAGTAAAAAACCTTGGCTCCCTTTAGTCTTTAGGGGGTATATGTATTCTTTTTTTTTTTGAAAAAAAAAAAATGGGTATCCTGTGACTAAGTAAAATCTCAAGGGCAATTTTGTGACATCAAGAAAATATTGTCACGCATGTCCTAGGCAATTAGATTATTCACGCATTACCTGTACAGATTGGGAGCTTCACTGGAAGATGAGTGCCCTCCGAAAATCCAAACATTGCCAACAACAAACCAGACAGCAAAGAAGCAATCCAAAGCCATCTTGAAATACTCAACAAACACCTTAAGCCTGCAAAAAGTAAAAGCCCGGAAGTTTTGTTAAGAAAAAATTCCCAAGGACCCAATCGAAACAAATCCAACATAAACAACACGAATGAGGCGTTATTGTTTGTAACCCTTAACTACAACTGCGGCCACGAGTCAGTTTTTTAATACTTTATTTATCGATTTTTACTTCCACCCAAATTACATAGTTCTTAACATAGCCCTCAACAGGAGAAAACCTTAAATCTTTTTTCTAGGCATAAATCACTAGCGTAATCGTTCCTTCACCACATCTGACATTAGACACACATATAATTGGAGAACAAGATAGAAATGTCACAACAAAAACAACACTCTTGAAAAGTCACAAACATGTGAATAAATTGAACACCATTGCCTAAAGAAACTTCAAAAGCAAAACAGACCAACATAATTGAATGCTTTATAAAGTAACTTCAAGAGCCAAACTCACTGTCCAAGTAAAGATTAAACGTGATTAGACTAGACAGTACCGAGTGATGATAAGATCAATATATTCATGAGCAAGCCAGGTCCAAGAATATGCATGACCAACAAGTCTAAAAGTCAGGTACCATAAATTTTGAACAATTCGTTAATTTGATTCACCACCTCAATCATTCTTCATAGAAATGTTAACCATCTTAATCCTTTGGCACCTAAGACCGGATCAACAAACCAATGAACTCATCAAAGATGTCAAAATTGCACGAACAATTCAAATCAATAGAACATAACTTCAGATGCATCAAACTCATTAAGACATAAAGCAACAAATTGGTAAAAACACATTAAGCATGCAGCATAAGACCAAACATTTATGAAATACCTCGAGTTCAATAATCCACTACTTTGGGCAAAAAGAAGCTACGTGGCGATCTTACCGGAACAATGCGAAACGAAAAATAGCCGAAGCAAAATAAAGCAACAAATTGGTAATAACACATTAACCATGCAGTATAAGACAAAACATTTATGAAATACCTCGAGTTCAATAATCCACTACTTTGGACAAAAAGAAGCTACGCGGCAATCTTACCGGGATAATGCAAAACGAAAAATAGCAGAAGCAAAATAAAGCAACAAATTGGTAAAAAAACACGTCAAGCATGCAAGTATAAGACAAAACATTTACGAAATACCTCGAGTTCAATAATCCATTACTTTGGTTGCCTCTAATTACTGCACCATTTGTCCGACGATCCTCCCCTTCCATGACTCTCCTAGTCAAAAGCCCACCATTACCATTCAATCCCTGTGAAGAAGAATCTACACGCTGGGGCCCATCCTGTTCGAGAACCTGGTTCCGGTGCTTAAAACGCCAGTACAGAAGGGGAAGAATTGCGAAACAACCGGACGCGTAGCCCATGATCCAAGCCTTCAGTGGGGCCCGCGGGCGCTCGTGCTCGGAAAGGGACAAAACCACAACAGCCGCAACAATCTGGCTAACCGTAAGAACTAACTCCACCGATATCCACAGAGCAGAATTCAACGGGCTCCTCTGGCGGCCACGGCTGTTACCTCTCCGGACTAGTGACGAGTTCCTCGAGGTTGGCTGATAGACCGGGTTTCTCAAGCTCGTGGAAGGCTGGTCCTCGCTAAATTGCTGGTGGGCGCCACCTGGCAGCCTCGCGTTGGACGAAACTGAGGGGGAATGATGATTGCTGCTGCTGCTGGCAATGTCAATGACGTGCTCGTTTTCGTTACGGGTCTCCATTAGCAACGGGACTTTGTTAGTCTGGGTTTTACGGTGAAGTCCCGGAATGGGAAATGCCATTCGAGACACCTGGCAAGGGACGGCGAACAGGAAACATGGGACAGTGGTGTAGTAATCCAGACAGTTTGGGGTGGATAACTACTATGCAAATGCGGGTTCACTCGAATGTAAATGCTGCCCACTATTGAATATTGACGCTACTAGAGCCAAATTATACAATCACCTGAAACCGTTCAAAGTGCACAAAACGTGCAAGAAAGTTATAATTACTAACACGGATTTGCTCCGAAATTTGAAAAATAGTGGATGTTGTTAAGTGGGAAAAACAAACACGGGATTACTGCAAAAAAAGAAATTTCAAAGATATATTTATATTCTTCTTTCCAATGATAGTTCAATAATACTCTAGTACATTCTAAACAAATAACTTGGTTGCAGACTTCTTATCTATCAATATATCCACAGCACAAAGCCACAAATAAAGGGCCATTAATTTGAACACTAGCAACATTCTTACTTCAATAAAGTAACCAAAACAAAAATGACATGCTGATTATTGAGTAGATTGAAAGAAGTACTATAACGCCAAAATATGCACGAAATTGTAATAAATTCTTGAATAACAGCCCATCAGAACAAAGCCCTGCTACCTTAATAAATAAATAAATAAATAGGGACACATAGAAGCACAGTGTACAAATCCAACTGCTGAGCAGCCTCAATTCTTTGTTAGAAATTACAGCAATGAGCAACCGAATACCCTTTCGTAATCGCAAATGGTGATAAAGCTTCAAATTGTGAATTCATTCAAGGCTGATTAAATTCAAACTCCACAACCCAATCAACCCTCAACCCCCAAAATCCTAATCTTCATTAATTGTGGATCGTTGACTGCCTCCACAATAAATAGTTACAAGAACAGTATTAACGAAAAGAAAAAATCTACAAACCCCAGCTGAAAATCAAAATCCAAACCCTAT